AGTGAAAGATTATTGGTATAACATATTTTCTATGATTCATTTTTTGGGGTTTTCTCTGCCTTATTTCTCCATTGAGGAGAGCTCTTCCTCAATACAGAAGTTTCCCAAAAACTGGTCAACATATTTTCAAAAAGCATTCTATAACAAAGGTAGGCTTTCAAAAAACAGAAATGTTTTTACCAATGGGAGTAGGGAGAACTTTCTCATCGGAGGAGAAACTGTTCGACAATAGACCATGTTTACCTCTGCCCATGCTTTAAGAACAGCCAGCTTTTCCATGGTTGTGGCACTTTCTCGGTACAGTTGGCTGGAAGATCCTTTTCCGGCCTGAACTTTATCCAGAGAAGAAACAAGCAGATTTGTGTACCGACGAGAATCATTGAGATCACTGACAACTCCACTTCCAATCCATGTGCTACATACCTAGCCAAGGAATAAATTTTTTAATTTATATACAAAATAAAATTAACATTGTATATAAGCAAAAGGAGTAAATCTGATTTTCTTTCTTAAGGGAAAATCACAAAACAGAACAAATCAAAAACAACAAAAAAACTATCCAATGCTAGGCCTTATTTTATTTATTGTAATAAATCAAGGGCAAGTATAGATTTTTACAATACACCTACATAGAAAATAAGACAATATTTACTTATGGTGTTTCTATCGTCTAATAAAAATTTTAGGAGAATTCCAAGATGGCAGCTAGAGGGAGGAAGCAGAAAGCATGCCTCCTAAAGTAAAATCTTGGAGAGACGCTGGAGATACACCTTACAGATAAAACCACCAAGAAGAGGCAAAACTTTGACTTCTCCACACCTCCAGCCTGCGCAGAGCATCTACACTTCACCTTAAAGGGAGAAAACAAGAGGGCTCCTGTGCTGCCGCCAGAGCCAGTGCCCAGAGAGCTTGGGAAGACACAACCACAAGGTGAGCTAAGTGGTACACGGTACCCCCACAGACAACCCTGGGCCAGACCAGCTTAGCCCCCTGGACAGACTGACCCCCACGCAGGGAAAAAAGAAAAACTGAATAATAAGCAATAACAAAAAAAAAAGACACATAGAAAAGAGGGTGGGGCACCCTGAGCACCAAAGGGGGGGGAGGGGAATCCCTCACGGAACTGTAAGTAAACAATCTGGGCGGGAGAGGGCAGGAGCGGTGGCACACGCCCAGCAACCAGGAGCAGGAAAGCTTGTAAAAGTGGAGGTGGGAGGAAAACTCCACAGGAGAGGGGAGAAGGCCCACTTCCCATGTGAGCTATAAATAAACACGCAGGTCTGAGAAAGAGGGTGCAGTGTCACCTCCCCCAGTGTGCTTGGAAAGGGGAAAGCTTGTAGCAGCGGCTCACACACCGGAGAACTCTGAGTAAAAAAAGCCTGCAGGGCCAGGTGAGTGCTAAGCTCACCCTGAGATCTGCATAAACAAAGCCTCCAGCAACAGCAAGCTGACAGCAGCAGAAAGGCAGCCACAGATAGACATTCACAGACCTGTCTCCAGACTCTTTTTTTTTTTTTCTTATTCTCTTCCTACCTTTGATGAGACAACAACCGAACTATGCCTGCATGCTGAAAAACTTACTGAAATTGTATTGCATTTGAACTTGGGACACTTTGTGGGGTTTTTTGTTGTTGTTGTTTTGTGCAGTTTTGTTTTATTTTGATTTTTCCAGTCTTTTTCCCCTTTGATGAGACAACCACAGAACTACTTCTGAGGCACCATCTCCAGGATTGGAGGCTGAGGGACGAACACCAAAATTATTAAGACTGAAACTTTATTGCATTTGAACTTGGAGATTTTATATATATATTTTTTTTTTTTATTTTTTAATTTATTTTATTTTTTATTTTCAATCCTCTTTGTCTCTCTAATGCCTGTTCAGCTTACGGTTGATTAGTATACTCTCTCTCCCTGTTTATATCTTTGAAACTTTTTTTGTTTCTTTCTTTGTTTTGTTTTTTTCTACTTGTTTGTTTTTCCCTTTTCCTTTAACTTCTTTGCTTTCCATCTCCTCTCACCCTTCCACTCTAAATATCACCAGTGCTATTATTACAAGCTAGAAAATACTTAATTGCACACAGTACAGGGACAGTAACACCACCAAGGATAATGACGGGAAGACAGAAAAAACAGGGAAATCAGTTTCCCCACAGCAAAAAATTAGTACAGGAACCAGAGGGAAATGAAGAAAACAGATACTCAGACCCAGACTCCAACAAAATGAAGATAAACTATGCCAAAGAACCCAATGAAGCACACAAGAATAATCTAAAAGAAGAAATACTACAGGTACTCAATGAGAATTTCATGGAGATGATACTGAATATGGTCAACCAAAATGTACAGGAGACACTCAAGAAATTCCAAGACAACAAAAACAGAGAATTTGAAAAAGCAAAAGAAGAAATAAAGGAAACCATAGAAGCACTGTATAAACACCAAGTGAAACAAACATACCCTGAAGGACCTAAAAGCATATATTAACTCCATCAGTGGTTGTGGGAGACTTTAACATCCCATTATCATCAATAGATAGGTCATCCAAACAAAAAATCCATAAAGAAATCCAAGATCTAAAATATACAATAGATCAAATGGACCTACTTGATGTCTACAGAACATTTCATTCAACTTCTACACACTATACATTCTTCTCAGCAGCCCACAGAACCTTCTCCAAAATAGATCATATCCTAGGGCACAGAGCGAGCCTCAGCAAATATACGAAAACAGAAATTATACCATGCATACTATCTGATCACAATGCAATAAAACTAGAACTCAACAACAAAAATAAAGACAAAAAACATGCAAACAGCTGGAAACTGAATAACTCATTACTTAACGAACAATGGGTCACTGATTAAATAAAAGAGGAAATTAAAAAGTTCCTGGAAGTCAATGAAAATGAAAACACAACCTACCGGAACCTATGGGACACAGCAAAGGCAGTCCTGAGAGGAAGGTTATAGACATGAGTGTATATATTAAAAATTTTAACAGAAGTGACTTTTTCATCCAAAGTAGTTCACTCTTGAATAATTTTTCAACAAAATTTCTGCCTTACCATAGGAAAGAGTTATGCTAGCTGCTGTGAAAGATTTAAAAAGAAGAATGAAGAGAACGAGAAGGAATGGAAGAAGAAAGGAAAAATACTGACTCCCTGCCCTCAAGTAAGAAAGCACAGATTTAATGAATACATAAGAACATTCTATGACTGTGATACTACTACACTTAAAAAGACAAGGAAGCCAGGCACCAGTGGCTCATGCCTGTAAACCCTAGCTACTTTGGAGGATTGCAGTATGTGGCCAGTCTGGACAAATAGTTCATGATACCCCATCTCAAAAATAACCACAGCAAAATGGACAGAAGAGTGGCTTCAGTACTTATGTATAGGAAAGAACATATGTGAACAATAAATTACATATCCAGTTAATAGACATATCCATATCTATTATAATACGATACAACATAAATGATATAGATTGAACTGGAAACAGAATAAAAAAGGAGTCATCCAAGAGAAAGTTGGAGGCAGAAATCACAGGATCTGGAAATCAACTGGATATATTTAGGGGGTGGGGCAATGTGATGCGAAAAGAGTGAGGAATCAAAGATTGCCAAATTTTTATTGTTACAGCTTCTAATTTGGATGAATGGAAAGAATGCGACACCACTGTTTAAGAGGGCTAACAAAGGGAAATTGGAAAGTTTGCTGGAGACGAGAAGTTGGCATGATTTTGGTTCCAAACATGTTTACATGCTGAGCTCTCAATGCCACTAAAAAACCTGTGGGAAGATATACAGTGGCTCCCACTGCTAATCCTAGCTACTCAGGAGGCAGAAATCAGAGGACCACTGTTTGAAGCCAGCCCGGGGAAACAGTTTGCAAGACGCTTACCTCAAAAAAACCAATCACATGATAACTAAAGTAGTATTTACTAGGCAAGTTTAATTTTTTTTGTTTGTGTTTTTTTAAAGCCTTAAGGCCAGATCACAGAGAAAATAAGTGAAAAACCACCAAGGGGGAGGGTGTGTGTGGAAAGGAAACCTGTAGTCCTAGCTACTTGGGAGGCTGAGATGAGGGGGATCATGGTTCCAGCCCAATGAGACCCATCTCAATGGAAAAAAGCTGGGCATGGTGACATGCGCCTCTCATTTCAGCTACCACATAAGTATAAAATAAGAGGATTGCAGTCAAGGCCTGCCTGTGCAAAAAAGCAAGACCCTATCTCCAAAATAAGTGGAGTAAAAATGGCTGAAGGCATGGCTCAAGCTGTAGAGCATCTGCGAAACTCACAGTTTAAACCCCAATACTGCCAAAAAGAACAAAACAGGAAAACCAGCCAAGAATGGTGATACTGGAACTTAGGGGAAAATTTCAAGGAGGAAGAGGTAGTACTAGATCAACAGTGATTACAAGTCCTCACTTTCTCATCTGAAATCCTTCAGCCAAGATGTGACTCAAAATTCACCACTTGGCTATAAGGTAACAAGGCAGATGAACCACAATAGGGAATTCACTGAGAAAGGCATGTGGCAGCACTCCACAGTTAACACATAAGATATTTTTGCAATGAAACATATTAGGAATCATTCTCACAGACATTAATTGAAAGAAAAACATTATTCAGCTTCAGGCCAAATAAATACAAGTTGGCTCCCATCTTGCTGCCAAATCAAGTATAAAAAAAGCTTTTGTTTTCAGAGCATTTGGGTTTCAAATCATTGCTATTGGACTTGTGTTTCAGTATTTAAAACTTTTTAAAAGTTGAGAATAAGTATTCATGCCAATAATCTTATTATCTTAAAATCTTATTCTCAAAGAATTCAAAACAAAATTTAAGAAAGGTATTTAAGGGCTAGAGGTGTGGCTCAAGTGATAGAGCACCTACCTACCAAATGTGAAGCCCTGAGTTCAAACTCCAGTACCTCCAAAAAAAAAAAAAAGTGTCAACAATAAAGGCATTTTAAAACTGTTTTTAATTAAGGACATGCTGATACTGATGGCAAAATAAAATGTAAGGTAAAATAGGCTGAAGATATAATGAATTCAAGGGGAAATGAGATCAAATAGTATGGAAAGAGTTGTAATTCCTTAGGAAACTGAACATACTGGATATATTTGATAAACTTTTGTGAAATTTGTTAGAAGTATAACTAAAAGTTGGGGAAACTTGTAAAGATTGAGAACTTGGCACTGCACTTTCCTTAAAAAAACCTAAGTACTTTTTCTACTCTCAAAAACCTATTAACTAGAAATACAGAGAAAGCATTATGTGGTGTGTGAGTATAGACAATGCAGCCTAAATCAGCAAAATCATATTCAGAGTAAAAACTGTTGCCTCAAATCAGATGATTGGTGAGTAAAGAATGTGAATATGGTTGATGTACTTTCTATACAAGAATGAATACAGAAGTTTTAAACCTGGTGAACTCACTATGAGATGAAAATAAAAAGAAAAAAGGAGGGAATGAATCAATTTGGGATATAATACATACACACATGGAAATGTAATGATGAAACACTCTATATAGATATCTTAAACAAAATGTGTTTTTTCAAAAACGGGAAACAGGGAGGTAAAAACAGGTCCTGTCTGGAGGCGGGTGCCACTGAGAGGGGGGAGGATATAAGGAAAGGGTGTACAAGGGTGAATATGGTAGAAATATTATGTGCTCATGTATGAACATGGAAAAATGAGACCTGCTGAAACTATCCTAAGAATAGGGAGGAGGGGGGGTAAAGGAGAATAATGGAGGGGGTAAATTTAACTAAGATATATTGGAAGCACTTTTGTAAATGTCACAATGTACCCCAGTACAACAATAATATGATAATAAAAAATAAGTTAATTAATTTAAATGAAAAAAAGATTGGTGAATGCACATTTATAAATTTTAACTTGAAATGCAATATTTAAGGATGCATTATTTGGATTCTGATCCTGTTTTAAATGACTTTTTACTACCCCATCAATTAATGTCCCAAATTGCCTTACAATTGAAGGTCTCTCCTCTAATATTTAAGTATTATCCTGATTTTGTTTCTTAAAATGGTGTTATTCCAGCCAACAAGCTGAAACAACTTGTAAATCAAATCCTTCCTTTCCTTAAAGGAAAGGAAATTGTAACCACAGCCCCAGCTGTTTCAAACTAGGCTCCCTGGTGCAACAGGAAAGGAGGTCATAAATTTTAACCTACCACTAGGAAACAAGAAATTTCTTGTAGAAAAGGCAGCTGATGCCAGTGCCACAAAATAAGAAGTGTAAAGCAAATTTAATAACAGGAAAATTTCATACTACCCATTTACAAGGTGAAATTCTAGTAGCCTTTGATTTTCTAATGATCAGGAGCTTTGTAGGAGATTCTGTCTGCTTAAATACAATGTTCTGAAACATCACCATGATGTACTTATTTATAAAGGGCTGTGATTTCTGATGATTTATGTGTACATATTTATAAAGGGCTGTGATTTCTGATGATTTATGTGTACATATCCCCCTAATACTTGTACCCATTCCTTATGACAACAGTCCCTCTTCTATGGCCTGCTGTCTGTGTAAGGAGTTAATTCCTCTGAAAGCCACCATTGACGCAGCAGGTTTCAGAAAAGCACATCTTTAGAAAGAAGAGACAAACCCAGTCAGGCAGAGAGAGAACAAAGTCAGGACTTCAAACCTATCATTACAGAGAGCAGTCTTTTCTGCATAGAAGTCACATGAATTCTTAGCAAAAGTGATGGAGCACAGCTCTGTACTCCAGAAAACTGAGGAGACAGTTGCTCCTCTCTTGTCTATAGGTAAGCCAGTAAAGAATCTGGTTTTCTGAAAGGTTAGAATTTAATCATGAATACATTTTCAGGATGAGGCATACGAAAAAGAACTTAGTAAAGGTATAGGAATCTATGTGTTTTGGGTGGTTCTATAAATCTCTGAAGATACAACAATATGAGAATGGTGCCTGGGAATTAATTTTGCAATGCAACTTACATACTGTGAGACTCTTTTTAGGATAATTCAACTCACAGAAATTTCTACATTTTCATGACCTATGGTCAAAAATGTTAATAATTATACAATTGTCATTACTATACATCCTTTAACTATTATAGATTTTGATATCTTACTTATTATTTTAGTCCCTCTTACAATTTTCATGTCTGTTTACTTCTGGATAATATATAAGAACTATGTATCATAGTTATGTGCTGAATTATGACAAAAAAGGATCTGATTAACATTTACTACTTCAGCATTTCATAAAGAATAAAAAATTGCCACCACTGTATTTCCAAGACAAAAATAATTTGGTTTTTCTCTCTTCTTCCTTAAAGTGAGATTCTAAGATATTTAAGAACTTACAGAAAACAACTACAGTAAGACTTATTTTTCTTCTTACCTGGCAAGCTTTTGCAATTATGTCTGATGGTGTATCTTGTGAAAAAGCTGGCCTAAGAGCAGCTCCCACCTGGAAAAAATGAATAAAGTATTTTCTTTGCAGAGATTAAGTAGTAAACATAAAGGCTCTAGTGTCATTGGGGATCAAAACACACAAAACACATCTTTGTCCTTTTCCATTATATCGCCTGTCTCTTATCTTTTTTCAGTTGTAATAAACTGAACCATACCATTTTTCTTTGCTTTCCAGGAAGCTATCATTATCAAAGCTATATGAATCCTACACCAAAGAGGCAACCATGTGTCTTTTTCCTTTGTTTTTGTTTAATAATAAACAGTATTGTCTGAAAGTTGCATGTGCTAAGCTGTTGGGGGTTTCCCACATCTACATTTTTCTAAAAACATTTCTTTTTGTTTGTTTTTGATGAGTACTGTGATATTTCCATACATATACACATTCTACCTTGATCAAATTCACCCCCTCTATTACTCTTCCTTATGCTCTTTCCCCTTTTATTTTATAATTTTTAATGGGTTTCATTATTCTATTTGCATACTTACATATAAAGTACTGTATCAAAAATATTTTGAGCACCATTTATATGCCTCATGGGTAAATCACATATAGCTACATGAATTTCTTTAAATAACTATATATTACTAAAAATTCACAGTCACTAATTGACCTCAGAGATCATTTCACCTCAAAAACAGATGCTTTAAAAAGCTGCTTCAAAATATTATCTTACGTATTATTAGGTAAAGGATACAAACTTTAGTTTTAAATAACCCAATGTCAGTCATAGATTCTTAGCTATATTAGTAACTTCAATATGTATGAGCTGAATAATGGAATTAGATGTAACCAGCTTGTAAACTGAGATTTCTTTTCTTACAACAGAGATCCTGTCACTAAGGCATATCAACAGTAGTTTGGGAATGGTTCAAGAGTCCTTGTCTGTGAATAAAGACACATGACCACTAATCACAACAGCTGAGCTTATACTGAAGGATAAGGAATATTATTAAAGAGATTATTGGGTCCACTGACAAAACTGGAATATGACAGATTTAATAAGAGTGGTAGATCAATGTTGAGTTTTCTGAGGTTAGTAATAGTTCTGTGCTTACATCAGACAATGTTCCAGTGTTCTTGTCCTTTGGAAATACAGAACAAAGTGTTCAACAAGGGTAAAAATACATGATTTAAATAACTTACTTTTAAATGGTTTAGGAAAAATTGTATGTATGTATGTGTGTGGAAAGAGAGATGGAGTAAGGAGAGAAAACAGAGGAGTCAAAATTAGCAATTGGCAAATATGAGTAAAGGGTATAAAACACTTTTTTGGACTGCTCTTATAACTTTTCTGTAAATTTCTAATTATTTCTAAATAAAAGGATGTTTTTAAGACCCTGATTTTGTGTGGGAATAAATTATATACAGATTATCTAAAGCTCATCGGGTAGAAGTTATAACTTCCTCACCTGTACTTATAAAGGGAAAACAATGAATTACACATTACTAACATACAACCTTCACCCCACCCCACCCCTGCACTAACTGTGAGAACTAGTTTATTGTGCCTCATTTGAAAAACATAAAGGTATAAATCTCAGGAAAAAATAAGTTTAGCTTCATTTAGAATGCAGTAAAAATCTTTGGAAGTATCTAATTCTTTCAGTAATACTTTTAGCTGCTGTTATTTTAAGAGTCAGCTTATCCTTCAGTACATAGGTGGAAACTGCTTTTTATTTCTAAAACCTCTTATCAAGTCTTGGCATATAAAAGTAATGGCAGAAAATCTACAACATGCCTTTGAATGCTCCTTTTATCTTTTAAATGGCATAACTAAGTATCTAAACATGAGACTGGGAAGCTAGGCTGGAATTTCTATTCTAGTTTTATCACTAATATGCTATCACAACTTAAAAATAGTGTCAGCAGTTTTACACTATTACTTCTTCAATTGTAGATTAACAAATTACAAAACAAACCATGGAAGGAAAGGTATGAATTCCACATGAAAAATAGATTGCAGTTCCAAATACAATTTTCCAGGGAGTCTTCACTCCTTCAATGGTCCCTCAAAATAACAATTTCAGGTTTCTAAATAAATAGAAAAGCTCACATTAGCTTGATACTGCTCCAGAATCACATGACCTGGAAATTCTGGCTCAGGCACAGATGCAAATTTCTTGATAATGTCTTCAAGGGCCTGCAGTCCAGCCATTCGCAGCTGGTTGCTATGATCAGTCGCAGCCATGAATGCCATGCGAATCAGGTCAGAGAGATGGAGTACTAAGAGATCATCTAAAAATAAAAGTAGAAGGCAAAAAGGAAGACTTCCAAAAATCATTGTAGTAACATAAAAATATGAAATGAATGAATTTCTGAAAAAGCACTTACGGCCCACATATTTCATAATGTTAAAAAAAAAGAGATTATTTCAAGAAAACTTCCATATCAATATTCCCAGAACAGGTGGTAAAGCTTTACACCATATTTTAGCATAGATGACCCTAGGATGTACAACCACAGTTGAAGCCAAATACTTGATTAACATAACTTTCCCAAATGAGTTTGTAATTCTTTAAGAACAGGGGTTGGCAGAATTTTTCTATAAAGGAACACATAGTAAATATTTTTGGCTTTGTATGCCATATCATTTCTAATGCAACTACTCATCTCTGCTATTATAATACAAAAGCAGCCACAGATGACATATAAAGAAGTGAATGGGCTGAGCTCCAATAAACTTTATTTACAAAAACAGACTATGAGCTGAATTTGGACTGCAGGCCAATCTCAACTTCAGAAAAGCTCAGATTTGTACTCAGGAAACTTAAATTCACAAAATGAGAAGGAAAAGACTTCAAGAAAATTGATGTGGAAAAGGGAAAGATTTTTCTTTTAGCCCTAGAGTCAGGCTACACTGGAGCTTGCTTAAAAGCAAGAATTAGGATGATACAAAGTATAATAATTTAGTTATAACACAGAACAAAGTTCACCGATAAAGAACACAGCAAGAGCCATCACTAACCAGTCCTAAAATTTGCAATGTCTTGCATCTAAAAAAAAGTTACTAACTTTGCAAAAATGTCTCCTAATATACAGGAAAAAAATCAATTTCAGAAACAGGTTAAAAATGTAAGAGTTAATAGAACTAGCATACAAGAACTTTAAAACATCTGTTATAAATATGCTCCCTATATTCAAAATGGAAAAGGAAAGCATGAACATGATATGGAAATGAAAGAAACAAGCCACAAAGGGTATGTATGCAGACATAAAGTGACTGAAATGAAAAATATACTGGATAACATTAATAGAGATTAGATACTAAAGATCAACAAACTTAAAATACATAGCAACAGAAATTGTCTAAAGAATTTATGAGTTAAGTACAGCTCTTCAGTAAGCTACAAGACTCTCAACGTCTTTTTTGAAGCAGTGGCGATTCTGCGACTCAACCCGATGCCCAAATATCTACTTAAATATGTTTGCGTTGTTATTAATGTTGTATCTTCAGATTTTTTTCAGGTGCTTTTGTAAAATATCAATTTTGGAATATGAAATTTAAAATCTCTCAGTTTGGGGGTACAAAAAAGGTTAGAGGAAAACATCTGGCTAAAGGCCCCAATGCTTCCTCAACTAAGAGAAGCAAAAAAATACAACCAATAAAAATGAGGTATGATATACCATTGCCAGAATTTGGAAGAAAATTTCTGAGGTAGAAGGAACTGTATTTAAATTGGCCTACGCATATTATGCCAATCTAAAAGTATATAAAAAGACTTATTATTCCTCCTGCTCTCTCAGTCACTAATTGACAAAGCCTAGAACTATATTAATGTTCCAACTGCCAAAAACTAGGCAACTGTCTCTGGAATGAGAGCTGCTTTCCCCAACAATCTCTCTATATATCTCTTCCTCCAACCTTTCTCAAGTTGATACTTCTTTTTTTGTAAAATCCACCATGAACTCCCGAAGGGTGGGAATGGGGACAGAACAGAAACTTCAAAATGGAGAGAGAATTTTAGGCTGTTAAGGCCTAAGAAGATGGGTAGGTGAGGATGCTACCAGAGGATAGCATATACAATGGGTCTTCACTTTTTCATAGATTCTGCTGTGACTGCAGAATTAGAATGGATCCTGTTTCAGTCCACTGTAAGAAATCAGGCCAGATATCAGAATCTAGTGGGGCAATCATTAGATCCGATTACCATCAGCTACAGCTGTGAAGTACCCAGTACGCAAATACAGAAAACATGGGCAATCCACCCCACACAGTACCACACTGTGAGCAAATTCCAATTATGGAGAGTACTCTCTTCTTTCAAAAAACACATTAAAAGGAAGCCTATGAAGAAAACAACCAGAGAAAAGAAAGATTCTGAAGATTCAGAGAAAGAGCTAAACTCTGAAAACAATTTTCTATAAAAGCAGAATAAAATTTTAAAAAATATTTAGCATCCTAAATAAGAACAAACTTTTTTTTTTTTTTTTGTGGTACTGGGGCTTGAACTTAGGGCCTATACCTTGAGCCAGTCCAACAGCCCTTTTATTGTTAAGGGTCTTTTTTCAAGATAGGGTCTTGTGAACTATTTGCCTCACATTGGCTTCCAACTGTGATCCTCCTGAGTAGCTAGGATTACAGGTGTGAGTCATGAACTCAGGACTTCACGCTTACAAAGCAGATGCTTTACTTCTTAAGCTGTACTTCTAGTCCATTTTGCTTTGGATATTTGGGAGATGGGGTCTCACAAACTATTTGCCTGGGCTGGCCTTTAACCTTGATTTTCCCAATCTCAGCCTCCCAAGTTGCTAGGATTATTTATGGGTATGAGTCACAGGCACCTGGCCTGGATGATATAACGAAGATGGGGGAAATGCAGGAAAACTAAAAGCATAAAATCAGACTTAAGATCTACTATGGAAGTAGAAGAGAATAAAATATTATCAAAGTCTAAAGGTAAAACCTGTGAAAATCATTAAGAATGCAGGTAAAGAGATAAGACACCAACAATGAGAAAGGAAAGCAGTTAAGAACTATAAAGAAAAGAAAACCATGCTAAGGATTTTCTCTAGTCCTTAAAAGTATGTATACTTATGAATTCACACCTGTACAAATATTCTCTATTCCCTCTGCTTATAATGAACCAGTTCATTAAGCAGAATAATGGTTCCCAAAGAGGTCCATGCCCTAATCCCTAGAACCTGTGAATATATTACCTTTATGTGGTAAAAGGGACTTTGCAAATGCGATCAAGGATAGAGACCCCAAAACAGGGAGATTTTCCTAAATTATACAGTTTGTTCCAATCTAATCACATGCATACTTAAAAGCAGAGAATCTGGATTGGAGACATAGTTCAGTGGTACTTGCCTAGAATGCAGCAAGGCCCCAGGTTCAATTAAAAAAGAACAAAACAAAACCAACCACAAAATAAAAAACAGGGCATGCCTCTTGCCTATGGTCAGAGAAAGAATTGTGACAACTGAAGAAGCAGCCCAGAGAGACTCAACACAGCTAGCTGTGAGGATAAAGGAGGCCACAAAATAAACAAAAGGAATATTTATGTTTTATGAACATAAAAGCTGGGAAAGAAAAGGGAATGGATTCCCTTAAAGCCTCCAGAAAGGAATACAACCATGCTGCTGACTTTTTTTTTTCCCCCCACTTGGGATACTATGGATTAAGCCTGAGGCTTTGAGGAGTAGCTAGGGTTATAGGCATGCATTACCATACCTAGCTAAATATGAAGGAACTTTTTGGGGTTTTTTGCAGTATGGGGATTAAACCCAGGGCCTTGCACATGCCAGGCAAGCACTCTACAACTGAGCCACATCCCCAGTCTATGTTGATGCCTTGATTTTAACCCAGTGAGACTTATGATGGGCTTCTTACCTAGAGAGCTGTAAGGCAATGAACTTAAATCATTTTAAAGTTAAATTTATACTCATTTGTTACAGAAGCAATAGAAAACCAATACAACCAGCTGTTCTACCTGTAAAACTTTTCTCTGCCCTTAAAGTCCAGCTTCAAAATAATCTCTTCTGAGAGATCTTCCCTGGGTCTTTTGGGAAGTGAATGTCACCTTTTTTTTAATGGTCCCAAAGCACTCTTGTACCACTATGGGGGCATACCATAATTATTGGACTCATAAGTCTGTCTGTCTTCTAGACTAGAAGTTGTTGCAGAGTATAGACTATGATTTTTCCTCCTTTTATCTCCAATGTATAGGAAAGAACAGAACTCAGTAAATATGTGTTAAATAATGGCACGGATTGTGCTTTGCTGGTATCCTATGTTCGGATTCACATTTTATACACTGTGTACTACTATTTACTTTTTTGTATTTTTTAAATTTATTCATGAGTTCTGAGGCTTCTTATACATAATAAAATAACATGAAAGGGATTTTTAATTTACAGACTTCAATATTATCAATACCTACAATTTGTCTTCAGATATTTAAAATATGACAGGTTGATGGAGAGACAAACAAGTATAGGATAGGAAGTCTCTTACTAGACCACTTCTTTCAGCTTCTCTGGGTCTCCTCAACTGTAAAATGATGATATTTATTGGGTCTGATGATTTCTTTGTAATTCCCAATAATATCTGATCCAGGAGGATATGTGGTATAGAAAGTGTACAAAAGATAAAAAGCAATGAGGCATTTTTAGTAATAAATAACAAAAATACCTAAAAGCATTTCTGGAATCTGAGAACTTGAAATGTGCCATTGTACTCATGAATTCTGACAGTTTTCATGGTTAGGGACTGCCATGGCATCATTTTATTGATATATCTTAAAAGTTTTATTTTCACTTTTATAATGAATGCTAAAACAAGGACAATATTCTGAGGAAACCTAAGTTACTACCATTGTTATTCTTAGGACAAATGCTTAAAATATATATAGACAAGTTATCTGTCTGTCTGTCTGTCTGTCTTTGAACTACCTTCTTCAACTTATCTTCCAAACAGGAATGGATGGTATGACAGGGTACAGAAAATTAAGGCAAAAGGCAAGGAAACTTACAATAAATGAAAGGCTAGCCTAAAGCATACATACATAGAGGTAAAATGTCTCAAACCTACAAAATACTTTGGGGAAAAGAAGTACTGATTTTAAGTTTACTTTTAGGGTTCCGTAGTTTAGCAGAGCGTGCCAGGGCAAGATCAAAGTGAGCCTGGTCTGCATTCTCACACAAATTGATGATCCGACACAGGCAATCAGCAGCAAATACCCGAGTGGCCCAGCGAGGTGCCACAAAAGGTTTTGATTTGTCTTCTTCACCTAGTGTGGTAAACATGGTATCATCATCCATCTCATCTTTCTTTTCAGATTCTTCATCTTTTCCACTACTTAACAGAGTTGCAGTACTCATATCTATAACAAAAATAAAGATCATAATACTTCACATACAGCAAAACTGATGTTTTAGAATAGCATTAATTCTTACTCTCTGGAAAACAGAACTGGCAAGCAATTTTTTTTAAAACAATCAAAAACCAAGGAAAGACTATGAATTACTTTTAGGTAAGTTACGTTTGCATATTTGAATAGTTTTATACACTATGTTGTACTACAGGATAACGTGGAATTTTTAGATATGAAAATTTAGCTTGAACTTTCAAAGAATTTACAATGCATTTTCACAAAGCTATAGAAAACTCATTCATTTATAATATAATTTAACCTTCAACATTTTTACAGGGATTTATAGATGAAAAATTATCAGTAGTTTTAAATGTAAGTTCAAACTTATATAGATGTGTTTGTGTATATCTGTATATCTACAGACCAGAAGTAAAACAGTTTTCATTATTTTAAGAACATGTATTTAAATACATACCACTAGAAGCTGCCAGGACATCTTTACAAAGCATCAACCAATGGGAAAGTTTATCAACTGCCAGCGATGAAAGCATATGTCCCAGTGTATCATGAATATCAGAACATAATTTTCGATCTGTCTCCCGATCTAGCATTCCAAACAGAAGTCCCTCAAGACCAGTTTCTGTTATATTAACACCTTGGTGCCGGCAATGCATATCACTTCGAGAACTAACCCCAGGTGCAAAAGGATTGACATCTGAAAAGTAAGTTTTACAAATGAGTTTATATGATTTTTGTTGTGTGTGATAACTAACAATGTTAAAGGCCAAGTCTTACATGTAAATTCACAACAGCAACAAAACCATAGTTACATAGTTTAAGATTGAGCTATTCAAAATGTGAAAGTATTTAAACAAAAAAGAATGTTAACCAATAAGAGAACTTACTGGCACCACTGGTCTCTTTGTCCCCCACATTTTTTGCTAGGCTCATGGCGTATTCACACACTTCGGCTGCTTCTCTTTGGGCAAGTTGCCGGAGACATGCCACAGCTGCTCGTCGAAGTAACAAATGGGAACTACATAAGTGAACCTGTAAACCAGAACAATTTCAGGTGATTTTTTTAAACTGTAATGCTTTAAACTTATTTACTTAATGAATACATGTAAGAACACCCTATCTGTGAAAAGGCACCTTATTTAATAAGCTTTGTTGTTTAAAACGCAGTCAAATAATGGTATTTTGGCACAATAACAATGCCAATGAGATATACAAAAATATGTTAGTATTCAAAATAATTACGCCAAGATCTATGTATAAAGCTCATACAATATACTTAGATGAAAATTCAGAAAGCTCTTTCACACATCTTATTTTATACATGGTCTCACTTGGTTGTCATCTAAACTTTTTCAATATATAGAAATAAAATGTAGGAAGCAGAGAATATAGTAAGAACTGAAGGCAAAGGAGTATCTTTATTAAAATGAAAAACAAAATCAAGCAAACATAAACAAACCTGAAAAGAATTGCAAATGGGGCCTTTGGTACAGACTATATGAAACAGCATAACACAATGGTTAAGAACTCAGACTCAGATGCCAGGCTGGGTTTGAATCCTGCTTGTGTCACTCATTTCTGTATGGCCTTAGATTTTTCCCTATGTAAAATGGGAGTAGTAATTCTTCACAGCAATGTAGTGAAAATAAAAATGAATTAATAAAAGTAAAATGCTTACAACAGTGGTTGACACATGGTAATTGCAAAATGAGTGCTAAGTATCATTGCTATCCTATAAGTCTAACTCATCAAGAAAACATTAAATTATTTTTCATGTTTTGCTTTTTTTAACAACAACATGGGTAATTCACTTTAGTAAGAATCCAAGCCATAAATGATGGAGGTGAAGAGGAATATTATCTGCAATACACATATTCCCTTCACAATGCTAGATAGTGTATTTTATGCTCTTAATATAGCATTTGTGACTCAAAATACACTTGCATAAAAATCATAGTCCATGTTGGCTATGGTAGTGCTCACCTGTAATCCCAGCTACTCAGGAAGTGAAGACAAGAGGATGATGAGTTCAAAGCCAGTTTGGAAAAAAGTAGTGAAACCCTATTTCAAAAACAACAACAAAAAAAAAACCCAAAAGGGCTAGGCACATGGTTCAAGTAATAGAGTGCTTGCCTGTCATGTATGAGGCCATGGATTTACTCCCCCAGTACAATGAAGACAAACAAACAAACAAACAAAAAACATAGTCCATGAAATCTATACCAAAAACCACAATCCATGAAAACAAATAAAACACAACTGGGGAGAAAACCTGACAGATTTTTATTGACAAAATATGTCATCCACTTCCACTTCGCTTCCTAAAAAGAAAACCATTTTCAAACTTCCAAATAGCTACAATTAGAAAGCTGGAGCATGGTCACTTCAAGTGGGAAGAACACATCCCTGTGTCTCTGTTTCTGCTTTATTATCTGCACAATAGGGACAATGTCCACCCTGTGTATCTTACACAATTGTTTTAAGAATCAAAAGACAAAACATATATGAAGCAAAACACCATAAATTTAATTACATAATAATTAGAGAATTCTAAGAAACATACTCAACAAATGTTAATTAGCAAACCCAAAGCAAAAGGATACAACATTTTACAGTTTACAATGTGTTTCAAAACCCCCTTTCATTGATTCTGAAGTGTACTTTTCTTTTTCATTTTAACATCTGTAATACTGAGATGCAAAGTACAATTAATGGCATCTTAAAGTCCCTGCTTTTAAATTTCACAACGAATTGTAATGGTACCACAGTCATAAATTAGAAGACCTGTAAGACTGTCTATATGTATGAATTCAATTTGGATGGTCAGTTGAATTTCAATTGTCTACTTCTCTGTACAGTAGGTCCCTTGCTTACGTTGGTTTGACTTACAATTTTTTTACTTGACGATGGTGTGAAGATGATATATTCTGCAGAAACCACACTTTGAATTTTGATCTTTCCCTAAGCTAGCAATAGCTGATGTGATATGCTCTCACAATGCTGAGCAACAGCAAGCTTTACCTCCCATGAGGTGATCTCCCATGAGATCACCAGGATAAGCAACTGGTACTAAACAGTGTGTTGTGTGGCTAAGCTCTGATGTTCAGTAGTTTAGGTGTTATAAACTTCTGATATTTTCAACTTTAATGGATTTATCTGGACATAGCCCCTTCAGAAGTTAAGGAGCATCTGCACTTACAGTACTACACTGTCTTTCTTACTGTAGCTTATGGTAAATCTTGGTAGTAAGTATAATAATTCCATATTATTAGGTCAGCCTCCATAGTATAATATTTAAGGAATTAAAAATGGAGAGAGGAACCAGATAGCTCACAAGTGTATGTCTGTGTCTTCATCACCTTGGTCAGTTGCCTGTCTGAGTGATATCAAAACAAGTCCATCTTGCTCAAGAGATACCAGGTATGCCCTCACAGATTTTATCAACAATGACTTTCGGCAGGATCTTAGTGTCTTGTTACAAGTACAAACCAATGCATACTAGTAGCAGATCATTTTCCTTGTAAATGTCTTTTGTAAACATGTCACATGCATTTGGTATTGCTCTAGGTTATTCAAACTCGATGTTCTGGGACTGATTGAATCCCCCCTAGTCTAAAGTAAAACAGGAGCAAAGCTTGTTGAGTAAAGCTAAATAAACCACAACTGACCTGGTATATAATGTCTTGAGCTTTCTATTATCCTGAACAGTCTTTTTCCTTCTCACTTCAACAATATCCTTCCACTGTTACATCTACAGTGCCTTTCTCTCTCCCATATCAGTCTTCTCCTATCTTTATACTCCTCCCTTTCCAAATGAAATATCACAGTCCATCATTTCACCACTGTCTTCTTAGCATCTTTCCTTCCCTCATCCTACTGTCATTTAAACTATTCAGATTGGCCAAAGTCCAACTATGAATATATATCAAAGTTTCTGGTTTCTTTTTCTTTTCCCTTTTTGTTTTGGTGGAACTGTCTAAAACTGAATTAATGATATCTTCCCAACCTACACTTCCAATATTGCCAAAAATCTCAGGAAATTCCATTACTATGGTCAAGTCAGAAACCTAAACCATATCCTCCTTCCTTTTCCATGAGAGCCAATTAATCAACAAATTCTGTCAATTCTACCTCCTAAATACCATTCAAATCCAGCTATTTTTCCCCATTTTTATTACTATCAACTTAAGAGCAAGTAACTATCATCTTCCTACTAGAACACCATAATAATTCTTACCCTGTAGAATCCATTCTCCATCATGTAGAAAAAATAAAATGGAAAAAGTGCAAATCTTATGATGTTACTCCCCTGTAAAAAACCTTGTAATGGTTTCCCATTGCTTGCAGAATAAGACCCAAAGTTATAATATACATCAAAAGTCTGCATGACCTACCATCTGCTAATTGTCCAGCTTTATCTCACATTCTGCTGCCCCACATCCCCCTCCTCTCTCAGGTTTAACTACATTGGCTAATTGGTTCTTTAAATGTATCACACTCCTTCTCACTTGGGAGCCTTTCATTATTTTTCCCTCTGACTAAAAATAAATGCTGTGTACTCTAATATTGTGCCCTTCTGCAAACTAACTCCTATTTATCCTATAAATTAGTCTGTAAGTATTGTTTTTCAGGAAAATATTTATTTGCCTGGATTAGAATTGGACCTGTAGTATATGCCTTCTTTGGCTCTCCAATAGCTCCTTCTAGCTTTTATCTTGATTGTAAATAGCTATTGCTCTCCAATTTTCCATGTAAACTAAAAACTTCATTATGACAGGGGCTTAATCTTATCTCACCCACAAATGTACTTTCAGTACTTTGCCTAGTATCTGACATATAACATGCTATAATATTTGTTGAATGAATAAATTGATGATGGCAATGACAGCAACAGATCCTCAGAAATTATCAATCAAGTTTTAAGAAATAAAACTATAAGAGGGAAAGACTACATGTGGCACATTCTTAGCCAAGAAAAAAAAATCATCAAATATTTCTTTTGTTTTGCTCATTTGCTTGGTGGTATTGGGATTTGGGTTTGAACACAGGGCTTTACGTTTACTAGGCCAGGATGCTATAGCTTGAACCATGCTTCCATTCCTTTTTTCTCTGGTTATATATGGTCTCCATTTTTGCCCAGGTCAGCCTACACTGCAATTCTCCTATTTTAAGCTCCCACCATAACTGGGATGATAATAGGTGTGCCCCACTATGCCTAGCTTTTTTCTGTTGAGATAGGGTATCACGAACTTTTTGTCCAGACTGGCCTTGAACCATAATCCTCCCAAGTAACAAAATATTTCTTACAAGGCAAAAAAGAAAACTTATGGATAACGTGATTAGTCATAAAATAGTTATTGACACTGAAACCCTAGAACTCCCAGCCCAGGAAACTCACATCTTTTGTTTTGATACACTTTTGAAAGAAATTTAGAGGCTCCAAAAATAAATCAGTGAATGAAACAGCCTTATACTTACACAAAGGCTGGGAACAAGACTAGATAGGTTGACATGACGTGGTGCAAACATGTGAAGCTGCTGAAGGCAGGAGATGGCAGCTGCCTGAACCAGAGAGTCTGAATGGTCCTGAGTGATTGCACAGCCCACTAAGCAAGAGGAGCGAATTGTGGAAATTGTTGCTCCATTTCCTAGGAGCAAAATAAAAGTAAAGTAAAATACAATCATTGTTTAATATCACAAAAATATTCCTAGAAATTTAGATTTAGATCTTTAGAAGATAATAATCTAGTAACATGATTATCATTAATTATTCGGATTGTTCAAAAAAAATGGTCTACAAAGTCAAGAGAAATTATTGCAAAACACAACTGTGTTGGATAGCAATAATACACCTGTCTGAGATTTAGATAGATATATATTTATTCCCTGATAAATTATACTCTCTTCTACAACCACTGTTGTTTTACTTGAAAGAGCCAAAGCATTCTCATTCTCTGGTTCTCTGTTCAATACTATCATTTTCAATATATACTAACTTCAAATACTGTTTTCCTAATAAGATGGGCAGAAATTTTTATAGAGATAATTAGGGAAAATAAATTACAATATTACACACTACATATGTATATATATATATATACACATATATATATATATAATTTAAGTGCCAAATACTAGTATAATTGACAACTGTTTTATAATGCAAAATAAAATAATATTAAATAAAGACCAGACAAGGAAATCAAAGAATCATATACATATAACTTTGGAAAAGTCTTTAACCTCTCTCAGCCTTTGAGTTTCATCTGTAAAATAGAGATAATATGCATCTCTGAATTAATTAACTGTCAGAATTAAATGATGTAACTGGAGATAAAAAGTTTGACCCATTGAAAGCATGTAGTAAATGGTAGAGGAGGAAAGTGAAAATTCTGAATGCAGCTTATATATTTAGGATACATTCACAAAAAATTACTGACTTCAGTGTTTAGACATTAATAGAATTAGTTCTGAGTAGTAAGAACACAAGCTTTAAGATTATAAATATGCCCTCATAAGTTGAGGAACTCTAGATGAATTATCTTCTCTGAGCTTACTTCCTCATAGAAAAATATGGTAATATTATCTACTTCATAAAACACTGATTTTTTTTAAACTATGTTCCTGACTTGAGAGTTTAAAAAAAGTGAAGCAAACTCCATAAAGACACATAGAAACTTGTTTTACCTTTATTTTCATGGGGCCCCAAACTAAATTTGATTTTAAAATATTTTCTCTGCTCAAAACTTTAAAAAAGACTGTCATGTCATAGGATTTTAAAAAATAGCAGATGCAAAATGTTGAGTGCCAAGCCTTTGGAAAACACAAATGTTCAGTGATAAAAAAAATTATTATTATAAAATTTCTTCAAGCAATGTGATGATGACATTCAGGATACTGAAAGGTAGTAAAATTAACTAGTTTCTTTAAGATGAACTTACTTACCTTGCAGTTCAGGACCAACAGTTGTTATAATAGCACCCAAACATCTACCCAAACATTGATGAACTTCTGTATGTGAAGGTGGAACTGTCAACAGCAAGGTAAGAACTAGAGATAATGTTGGCTCCACATATCCACGATACATTGGGCCGCTAGAATCCACTATCAAAGCAAGTGAATGAAGAGACCAAGTCTAAAACAAAATTTAACTACTTCAGTTATAAGGAATGAAAGAGTATAATGAATCAACTATACTGAATTTTTACATGCATATACTCTTAATATTTTCAGACACACCAATGTAAACTGGCAAATCAAGTCTACTTTTATACATGCTTTGGCCCTCACTACAGTTATATTTATTTTATGTATAAAATGCTTGGGGAGAAACAACAAAGACGAAAAACATTCAAAGAGTAAACATGAAGATCCAACTATTCACTCAGAACATGGGCTTGGGTAATACAGAAAGAAAGAGAAAAAAGGAAACAAAACTTGACCAATCTTACCATGTAAGGAAATTCAAAAAAGAAACAAATTCAAGAGATAATAAATAATAACAATAAAATATGCTTGAAAGAGAATATGTGAGTGTGCTTAATTCCCAGAATAAGGCAGATTTTAAGATTAGGTTGAAAAGAAATCTTATTAATGCAAACAAAATAACAAAATAAAAAAAAAACTAAAACAAGTAACAAGATCATTTTCCCTAACAACTTAGCAGTCAGTATTGTTTTACAGAGCAAATAATTTTCCTAAAAACATTATTTAAAATTTTGATAATAAAAAAAATCACTACTACTGTACCTGAACTTCAGAAGATGTCCCATCTTGTGCTAGAGCTAGTAAAATGCTAACGCTGGTCTTTAGGTGTTGTCCTGAGCCTATTCCACCAACATAACGATGCAAACAACCAAGGGCCAATGAATGACCAGTCCTAGAAACAACATCTCGAGCTGATTTCAACCTAAGAAAAAGATTACGTTTCAGAGACTGATTTCTCTATGTTCCTCTAGTAATAAACAGCTCACAAATCATATAAAAAAGGGGAAAATATTCTGGAAATCAACAAAGATTACAATCTTTTTCTATTCCCACCACACAATCTCAATATAGAACAGAGATGTCCAATAGGAATATAATGTAAGTCACATACATAATTTTAAATATTCTGGTCACCTCATTAGAGAAGAGAAAAAAGAAATAGGTAAAATTAATACAATTTACTTAATACAATATATATGTAATCTTAAGTAACATGATCCAATCAAAATGAAATATTGAGATATTTTACATTCTTTTTTCCAGAATGCCTTCAAAATCCAATGTGTATTATATACTTACAGTACTCATCAATTTGTGGAACACACATTCTGTTGCCCAATAGCCATATGAGACTAGTAGCTACCACACTGATAACACAAATGTAGCATATCTTCATCACCCCAAAAAGTTTTCTCATATCCAATGACAGTCATATTATCTCCAAACACTGCTCTATCTTCTATTACTATAGCTTCAGCTTTACATATTTAGCATCTTTTTATATGTATTCCATAAGAAATGAAGCAGGGGCTAGGGTATAGCTCTGTGGTAGAAGGTTTTCCTAGTATACATTAAGTCCTTAAAGTTTGATCTCTAGCAGCATGGGGGAAAAACAGTCAGACATTAATAGTTCATGCCTGTAGTCCCAGCTACTCTGGAGATTGAGAGTTTGAACTCAGTGGGGGCAAAATTAGCAAGACTCTACCTCAAAAATGAAATAAAACAAAAACAAAAGGGTTAGGAGCGTGGCTCAAGTGGGGAGTGCTTGCCTAGTAAGCATGAGTTCAATCCCCAGTATCAAAATAAACAAACAAAACAAAAAGCAGAAAGAAAGAAAAGGAAGGAAGGAAGGAAGGAAGGAAGGGAGGGAGGGAGGAAGGGAGGGAAAGAGGAAGGGAGGGAAGGTGAAAGCATATCATTGGGTATTCTGGAGACAATATAATGACAAGGAAATATTGGCAACAACTTTTTGTCAACATATTTGACAACTTGGATGATATGGACTAATCCCTTGAAAGCAGCAAACCAACAAAGCTCACTCAAGAAACAGATCTAAATAGGTTATATGTCAAAATATAGATTTATACTAATTTTTTATATGCCAGTACTGGGGTTTGAATTCAGGGCTTTGTATTTACAAGGGAAGAACTGTACTGCGTGAGCCATACCTCTAGCCCTTTTTGCTCTAGTTATTTTGGAAACAGGGTCTTGCTTTTTGCCCAGGCTGCCTTGTACCGCAATCCTTTTACTTTATACTCTATACCACAGTTGGGATGACAGGTACATACCACTATGCCCAGCTATTGTTTGAGATGGGAAATCTCGTGAACTTTTTTTTTTTTTGCAGTGCTGGGGTTTGAACTCAGGGCCTACATCTTGAGCCATTCCACCAGCCCTGTTTTGTGGTGGGTTTTTTTCAAGATAGGGTTTGTGAACTATTTGCCTGGGCTGGCTTCGAACCACGACCCTCCAGATCTCTGCCTCCTGAGTAGCTAGGATTACAGACATGAGACACTGGTCCCTGGCTCTCATGAAGTTTTTGTTTGGGCTGACCTCTCCTCCCAATTTCAGCCTCCCAAATAGCTATGATTACAGGTGTGAGCCAGTTAGTTCTGGCTGATTCATACTAATTTTAGACTATTTGTTCTATAAATTATTTAGAGAGAAATGTTGATGTTTCCTTTGGGTTGTTTTTGTGAATTCTATTTCTCTTTTCATCATGCTTGAGTCTTCCTGTACTTCCTTAAAAATATAATGCATAATTATAATAGTTCTTTTAATGTTCTTATGTTTTCATTTCTAGGCCTATTTTTATTGATTGATATATTCTCTTAGTCAAAGGTCATATCTGTCTGCCTCTTTGCATGTCTCACAATTCTTTGACTACTTTTTTATTACTATATATTAACTGAACAAAATAATGGGTTTCATTGTTACATCTTCATAATGAACATAATGTACTTTGACTATATTCATGCATCCTAATACCATCTCTTATTCCCTCTCCCACTTTCCCCCATCCCCTACTCATTCCCAATAGTCCCTCTTCTGCTTTCATGTCTTTTCCTTTTTAATCTAGATTCTGCATATGAGAGAAAACACATATTTGTCTTTCTGAGTCTGTTTTATTTTGGTTGACATGATGCTCCTCAGTTCCATCCATTTTCCTGCAAGTGACTTAATCCTTTCTTTTTTTATAGCTAAAAAAATATTCCATTGCATATGTATATTTCATTTATTCAATAATCTGTTGAAGGGCACCTAGGCTGATTCCATAACTTGGCTACTGTGAGTGGTGCCATTATAAACATGGGTATACAGGTACTTCTATTGTATGCTGACTTTGATTTCTTCAGGTATATACAAAGGAGCAGTATAGCTAGATCATTTGGCAGTTCTATTTTTAGTTTTTTGAAAAACATTGATACTGATTTCCATATTGATTGCATTAATTTTATATTATGACCACCACCTACAACCATTCCTTTTTCCCCACATCCTCATCAGAATTTGTTTTGTTGATAACCACTCAGTTGAGTGATAGTTGACTCAGTTAAGATGGTATCTCAATGTGGTTTTCATTTGCATTTCCCCAATAGCTAAGGATGTTGAACATTTTTACATATATTTACTGGCTATTTGTATTTCTTTTGAGAACTGCCTGTCTATTTCAGTTGTCCATGTATTGATTATTTATTATTTTGGTGTCTATGATTTTTTTGAGTTCTTTATATACTCTGGGTATGAGTCCCTATCAGATGACTTTCTGACAGATTTTCTGTCATTTTGTAGGGTGTCTCTTCACTGGGGTAATTGTTTCCTTTGCTGTGCAGAAGCTTTTGAATTTCATACAATGACATTTTTAAATTCTTGCAACTATTTCCTGAGGAGTTGGAGTCCTATTCAGAAGGTCACTGTCTATGTCTATGTCTTCACAAGTGGTTCCCCCATGTTTTCCTCTAGCACTTTCAATGTTTCAAGTCTTACATTAAAGTCTTTGGTCCATTTTTAAATTGATTTTTGAGGAGGCTGAGAGGTGGGGAATATAGGTGCAGTCTTCTACATGTACATGTCCTGTTTTCCCAGCACCATTTGTTAAAGAATGATGCTGTTTTTTCCCCCTAATGTATGTTTTTCGTGCCTTTGTCAAGATTAAGATGGCTGTAGCTGTGTGGGTTTATTTCTCTGGATAAGTAATCTTTATTTCTTAGCCTCAGTTTCTCTCTATATAAAATAGACATTAACATTACTCCTACAAAGCAGTCATTTTGAGAAATAAAAGAAAAATGAATGCACTCTGTGAATTCTAAAACATCATACAGATCAAAAACTGCCTGCATATTGTTATTCCTCAAAAAGGGCCAGTTTAGGAGCTGGAAACGCAAGGTTCATTTTTCTCAGCTATGATTATATATTTAGCAAGTAACTTAAGATACAACAATCTAAATTTCCCAGTGGTTTCAAAGTGATTTTTAAATTGAATGGAAACAAATTTGATCAGCAAAGATGCTTATTATTTTTTTTCTGAACTAGGTCAAGGTTCAGTTACTCCTTGTTAACCTAGAATGGCTTATAGGAATGATACCTGTCCTAATTTCTATGAAACTCATTCTTAATGCTAGTTTGGAACAGTATTTCAATGTACAAATATAGCTGATTGATCTCTGAGTATAGGTGATTTTGGCTTTTCATGGTCAGTTATATCAGCAAGAGACATTGGTGATGAAGGCCATCTGATACAATAAGGCCATAAGAGACTGAAATTTTTCAAAAATAAAACCATGTTTTGTCAAATCTAAGCTACTATACATTTTTAATGTACTATTATTATGTATAGCAGTATAAAAGAAAAAGATACTGCCAAATGAGAGTGAACAGAGAAAAATCCCAATTTCAGATAAATTAACATGGGAAAGAAATGTATAAGTTAAAATCTACATACTAATTAATTTCAGATCATAATTATTTGAAAAAGCTAATGAAAATAAGCACTGATAATAAACCATTAACCAGACAGGTATAAATGAATGAACTGTCTTGTGTTTCACCAGAGTAAGTACAAAAAAAATACAATTTCTATAGCTATTGAGGACATTTATAAACTGAAACCCTGTGTAATTAAAAAAATTACATTCAAGAGCTTTCCAGAGAAACACACTCATATTTTTAACTTGTTCACAAAACAGTGCAAACCATTAAAGGATAGCTTAAGATGTTTGTCTTTTCAAAAGTCTTTAACAAAAGGTGATTTCAGAATCCATCACAATATTTGGAATGAGCAAAACTAATATATGGCTAGAAAATAGCAGATGGCATCCTTCAGAAGATTAAGTGTCTAGGGATGTTTTACTTTTTGTCTGCTGATATTGCCATCAGTAATTCAAACGATACTGAATACTGGGACATATCCTATAACCAGCCGTGACCTGACTATGTGTGTATAAAGATAAGGAAAGCAATTCTCAAATATGTAGGAGTTCAAAAACTCCTTTGGCTCAAAATACTACTGCTTCACAATTGTTGCTTCCCATTCTTCTCTCATCAATGATTATGATGTTGTTTGGTAATGTTACTACTCAAAATAAATGATAATTCACATAACTCAAATGTTAGTTCAAGATTACCCTGATTTTTAACGTTTTCTACATAAGTATGGATTAACACACTACTACCAAACACTAAACTACATTTTATTGGATTTTGAAGTGGCTTTTTAATTTTGTTTTGTTTCTTGTGTGATATTGGGATTTGAACTCAAAGCCCTCATGCTTGCCAGGCAAGCACTATAACCTCTTGACCCAGCCTGCCAGTCCTTATGGGTTTGTTTGTTTGTTGTTTGCATTACTGGGTTCTCAACTCAGGCTTAGAGTGCTTGCTACACAGCGCACTCTACCATGCTTGCCAGGCAAGCACTATTACCTCTTGACCCATGCCTGCAAGTCCTTATTGGGTTTTTTGTTGTTGAATTGTTTGCATTACTGGGCGTTTCAACTCAGGGCTTAGAGTGGCTTGCTACACAGGCACTCTACCACTAGAACTATACCTCCAGGCTTTTTTGCTTTAATTATTTTTAGGCAGAATCTTGCATTTTTGCCTGAGGCAGGCCTCAGAGGGTGATGCACCTACTCACTGCCTCCCCTGTACCTGTTGACTCCCACTGGTACACCAATGTCCTTGCTAAACTTTTTATCCAGGTTGGATCTCTGTTGAAAACTCCCTATTTCTGCCTCCCAAGTAGCCTGGGATTACCACATGTGTACGCTGCACCCGCCCATTTTATCATCTTAATCATTACTTACCTTGAATTTCTGAGAGTCATTTCTTTATGATTAACATGCAAAGAAATCTTAAAGCATAATGCTAATTTTATCTTATCCAATTTAAAGCTAATATAAGAGATGATAGCGTTGGGACATAGCTTAAATGGTAGAGTGCCTGTTTAACCAAGCACAAGGCCCTGAGGTCAAACCCCACTATGAGAGAGAGAGAGAGCAAGAGACGAGAGAGAGAGGAGAGGAGAGAGAGAAGAGGCGAGGGAGGGAGAGAGACAGAGAGGGAAGAAAGAGAAAGAAGCAGAAGAAAGAAAGAAAGAGGAAGGAAGGAGAGGAGGGAGGAGAGCAAAAGCTTGGTAGCAAGTTGTAAAAAAGAATGACTTAAATTCCCCAAAAACGTGAAGAACGGAATACTTAACAGGAAAGAGGTTAAGTTATTTATAAGTTCCTTTTGTAAGTGGTAAAGGAAGCGCAAAATGAGTGCTGAGTCTCTTTTAAGTGAGTGCATATATAACTGAGAGACCTAACGTTCTCCTTGATTCCAAGAGCTGGATAAGAACTCCTCTCCAGTATAAAACAAATAACAAATAGTAAAGGAACTGTCAAAATATCCCTATTTGCAGATGACATGATCCTATACCTTAAAGACCCAAAAAACTCTACTCAGAAGCTTCTAGACATCATCAATAGCTATAGCAAGGTAGCAGGATATAAAATCAACATAGAAAAATCATTAGCATTTCTATACACTAACAATGAGCAAACTGAAAAAAGAATATATAAAAACAATTCCATTTACAATAGCCTCAAAAAAAATCAAATACCTAGGTGTAAACCTAACAAAAGATGTGAAAGACCTCTACAAGGAAAACTATAAACTTCTGAAGAAAGAGATTGAGGAAGACTATAGAAAGTGGAGAGATCTCCCATGCTCATGGATTGGTAGAATCAACATAGTAAAAATGTCTATACTCCCAAAAGTAATCTACATGTTTAATGCAATTCCCATCAAAATTCCAATGACATTCATTAAAGAGATTGAAAAATCTACTGTGAAATTTATATGGAAACACAAGAGGCCACGAATAGCCAAGGCAATACTCAGTCAAAAGAACAATGCTGGAGGTATCACAATACCTGACTTCAAACTATATTACAAAGCAATAACAATAAAAACAGCATGGTACTGGCACAAAAACAGACATGAAGACCAGTGGAACAGAATAGAGGACCCAGATATGAAGCCACACAACTATAACCAACTTGTCTTTGACAAAGGAGCTAAAAATATACGATGGAGAAAAGCAGCCTCTTCAACAAAAACTGCTGGGAAAACTGGTTAGCAGTCTGCAAAAAACTGAAACTAGATCCATGTATATCACCCTATACCAATATTAACTCAAAATGGATCAAGGATCTTAATATCAGACCACAAACTCTAAAGTTGATACAGGAAAGAGTAGGAAATACTCTGGAGTTAGTAGGTATAGGTAAGAACTTTCTCAATGGAAACCCCAGCAGCACAGCAACTAAGAGATAGCATAGATAAATGGGACCTCATAAAACTAAAAAGTTCTGTTCACAAATTAAAACTCAAAATGGATCAGGATCTTAATATCAGACCCAAACTCTAAAGTTGATACAGAAAGAGTAGGAATACTCTGAGTTAGTAGGTATAGGTAAGAACTTTCTCAATGGAAACCCAGCAGCACAGCACCTAAGAGATAGCATAGATAAATGGGACCTCATAAAACTAAAACAGCTTCTGCTCATCAAAAGAATGGTCTCTAAACTGAAGAGAACACCCACAGAGTGGGAGAAAATTTTGCCAGCTACACATCAGACAAAGGACTGATAACCAGAATATACAGGGACTTAAAAACTAAATTCTCCCAAACTAATGAACCAATAAAGAAATGGGCATGTGAACTAAACAACTTTCTCAAAAGAAGAAATTCAAATGGCCAAAAACACATGAAAAATGCTCACTATCTCTAGCAATAAAGGAAATGCAAATTAAAACACACTAAGATTCCACCTCACCCTGTTAGAATAGCCATCATCAGCAACACCACCAACAACAGGTGTTGGCGGATGTGGGGAAAAAGGAACCCTCTTACACTGTTGGTGGGAATGTAAACTAGTACAACCACTCTGGAAAAAAATTTGGAGGCTACTTAAAAAAGCTAACATTGATCTACCATTTGATCCAGCAATACCACTCTTGGGGAATACCAAAAGACTGTGACACAGGTTACTCCAGAGGCACCTGCACACCCTGTTTATTGCGGCACTATTCACAATAGCCAAGTTATGGAAACAGCCAAGATGCCCACCACTGAGAATGGATGAAAATGTGGTATCTATACACAATGGAATTTTATGCAGCCATGAAGAAGAACGAAATGTTATCATTTGCTGGTAAATGGATGGAATTGGAGAACATCATTCTGAGTGAGGTTAGCCTGGCCAAAAGACCAAAAATCGTATGTTCTCCCTCATATGTGGACATTAGATCAAGGGCAAACACAACAAGGGGATTGGACTTTGAGCACATGATAAAAGCGAGAGCACACAAGGGAGGGGTGAGGATAGGTAAGACACCTAAAAAATTAGCTAGCATTTGTTGCCCTTAATGCAGAGAAACTAAAGCAGATACCTTAAAAGCAACTGAGGCCAATAGGAAAAGGGGACCAGGAACTAGAGAAAAGGTTAGATCAAAAAGAATTAACCTAGAAGGTAACACACGCACAGGAAATCAATGTGAGTCAATCCCTGTATAGCTATCCTTATCTCAACCAGCAAAAACCCTTGTTCCTTCCTATTATTGCTTATACTCTCTCTACAACAAAATTAGAGTAAGGGAAAATAGTTTCTGCTGGGTATGAGGGGGTGGGAGAGAGGGAGGGGGCGGGGTGGGTGGTAAGGGGGGTGGGGGGAGGGGGAGAAATGACCCAAGCCTTGTATGCACATATGAATAATAAAAAAAAAAAAAACAGAACTCCTCTCCAAACCAAAGAACCAGTACGTGACACCATTCACCGATTCTAGAGTTTATCAATCACTGAGTTAAAAATTGAGATCATTGTTGAAAAAACACACAATATATACGTCACAAGCTACACCAATATGGGAAAACACATTGTCCAGTTAACAATTATTGATTACTTAAAAGAGAATTTTGCCTAGTTGAGAAACTTACTTGTTATTAAAGACTCACTTACTTGTCAAAGCTATATTGAGCCATTCTAGCAATAAAAGTTGCTTCTCCCACAACCTGAGCCATTCTTCCAAGAGCTTCCCTGCTGCACACCGTAATATTGGGGTTTGGGTTGTCCAGAGCACCCATAAACCAGTGTCAGAGCAGATTTACGAACTTCTTCAGGTCCTAAGTACTTTTGTTTCAGCTAAGCCCTGCATTGATTTAAAAAATAATAATTTATGACAGTTCATAATTCATTCAAAGGAAAAAATGTGTTGCACTCTTTGTAAATTATCATATATCTTTCATACATTATTTTCTTCATTCAATTCTCACATGTCACAATTTAACAGTACCTGTTAACTGACGGTAATCACTTTCCTGGAATTATCGATTTCAGAATAAGTAACATAGTCAATAGAATCTGGCAGATTTCTTCCAAAGACTAATACTTAAAGATTCTTTTGTATATGAAGGATTCTGATTATTAAATTGATCATTTATTTATCTGAAATTTATCACTATAAGGGAAGAAGAGCCCTGATGAATATGAAACTTATTCATCTGTACAAAAATTTGACAAAAGAATTATGTATTGAGTATAATCAATATACAAAGAGAAAATCAGAAAAACAACCAGTAACTGAATGTTGATAGCTTGTTCATAGCATACCAAATGGTAATATCTCTGCTCTAGTACACTTACAGTTGTGAAATTTATTCAATTACTTGAGATTAAAAATCCAAGTCGTGGTATCAGAGGGAAAGTTAACTACAGCACAGTCATTAGTATATCTATGAAGAAAAGTAAAATTGCACAGCAATATATATAGTTCACTATTCTTCCCACCAGTAGGGCAGACCATGACCACCTCATTTCTTTTTCTTAAAAGCTCAGCTGGTGTTAAAGAGGGCAAATACTAATGGTTACATAAGTAGTACAAATCTTTATTTCTGTAACCAATGCATAATGTTCCTTTTCCCTGAATGCTTGCAAAAAAATAACTTAAAATATGCTTATTTAAACTGTATTGTGCTACCACTTTGTTTTAGAGCAATATCTGATAATAATTTTACTCTGAATAATATAAATAAGCTTTCGATACTTTATGAAAAGGATGCATAGTATGATACATGAACTCTGTGAGCCAGGCAAAAAGCCTGCTATTCTACTCCACAGTATTAAAAACTGCAGTTCAAAAAAAGTTAAAGGAATAAACAATAAACATAAGCCTACTGAGTAGCTAAACTAGAAAACAATCTCTATAAGCAATAGTCTTTCAATCATAGAACCAAGTCTCAAACTTAAGCTTTGTTTAGTTAACCTTTATTAGAAAATCAGATTAATTAATCAGATACCTTTGAAAATTCCAAAAGAAGTTACTGGTACTTGTAAAATTTGAGGATCAAGTGGAAATATGAACTTTAACTTTAAGAAAATATAAAATACTTATTTAATTACAATGAGTCTTATTAAAGTTTCTAGTAATCTTATTAAGCTAATATAAAAGCAATGTTATCGAGTGCATATACATATAAATGTAAACATAGTAATTTTAAGATACGTTGTATATTAAAATGCATTAACATCTTATTTCAGCATTTTTATATTTTAAAAGCAAATACCTTTAGTGCACTAAGAACAGCAGTAAATATATTAAGCTGCACAGCCTGCTGGCGGACACCTTTGGCTTGTTTAACACATTCAGCAAAGTGATCCAACATCTGTAATCTACAATAAAAGGATAAAGATCACACTGGTGATATTTTTATTCAACTATGACTCAAAAAACAAAGGTAAGACTATAAACCAATTGTTTAGCAAATAATGCCCCATGCTATCTCTGGTTCATTCCTATTGATCCAAACCATGTTTCCTCCTCCTGAATATATAATCATGTAGCTAATTAAGTGGAACAATTAGCAAAGGTAGGTTATAACTACAGTGGTGTTTAATATTAAAACCAGTGTCCAACAAAATGCCTGGCATATAGAAGGTGTGCTATAGTTTGCATATTGAATGTCTCCAAAAGGCCTATGTGTTAAAGGCTTAATCCCCAGGGTGGTAGTATTGGTACATAGTAGAACTTTAACAGGCAGGGCCACATGAGAGTTTTTCCAGTCATTAGAGGCATGCCCTCAAAAGGGACAGAGGGACCCTAGCCCTCTCCTCTCCCTCTTTGCTTCCCAGCCACAAGGAAAGCATTTTTTACTCTGCCATGCACTTTTACCAGGTGGTGTTACCTCACCAATGAACAAAAACAATGGTGCCAATAAATCATGCACTGGAATCTCTAAAACTGTAAACCAAAATAAGTTGGCTCTTTTTAAGTTAATTATACCAGGTATTTTGTTATAGTAATAGAAAGGTGACTAAAACAAGATGCTCAAAATTGCTTTTCTCGGGTTTTTTTTTTATTGTTAATACATTTATTCATATGTGTATACATTGTTTGGGTCACCTCTCTGGGGGGGGTCTATTTTTTAAGACAGATTATCTCTATGTTGCTCAGACTGGCCTCAAACTTGCAATCCTCCTGCCCTGGCCTCTTGAGTAGCTGGAATTACAGCCATGCACCACCACATCCAGTTTCTTCAAGACTTCTTAAATGGAATAATAACCATTAATTTTGTATCTCTATGAATGATTTCTTTGGTGGTACTGAGATTTGAACTCAGGCCTCAACTGTGCTTGGCAAGCACTCTACCACTTAAGCCTATATCCCTTTTTGCTTTAGTTACCCATCGAGTAGGGTCTCATACTTTTTTGCTAGGGCCAGCGTGGACCTCAATTCTCCACATTTACATAGGGTCTTGCTAACTTTCTTTTTGCCTAAGCTGGCCTTGAACCACAATCCTACCAATCTCTACCTCCTGATTACAGGAGTGAGTCACAGTCCCTGGAACTGTGGGTGATTTCTAGGTTAGAAACAAAAATGTTGCATAACTTTTTTTTAATACTCTTACCTAGAAACTATTTAATACTCTTACCTCAGAAACTATTAGATTTCAAATAAAGATTTAGCTTTGGTCAGTGTTTTAAATATAAAAACCTAGAAGTGAGGTTTTTTGTTTGTTTTTGCTGGGACTGGAGCTCAAACCTAGAGCCTTGCACATGCTAGGCAAGCACTTTACCACTGAGCTATAGCCTAGACCTTTTTAAATCTTGAGACAAAGTTTCACAAAATCGTTCAGACTGGCCTCAAACTTCTGATCCTCCTGCCTCAGACTCCCTAATGCTGAGATTACAAGTGTGTGCCACTACTTTTGAAGAACTTAGTTCTGTATTTCTTTAAAGAGAGTTGAGAGAGACAGAAGAAAGAAAGAAAGAGAGGGAGAGAGAGAGAGGGAGGGAGGGAGCAAGAGAGGAAGGAAGGAAGGAAGGAAAGAAGGAAAGAAAGAAAAAGATAGCATGGCAATTTTAGACCATTCAGCTAAAAAAGTGAATGAAACCATTATTCTAAAAACAAATGAGTAGAGCAAAGGAATCCAGAAAAGCTGGACTTAGTACTGTTCTAAAATAACTATGACCTAAAGTAGGAAATCAAAACCTCTCAAGAGTCACTATTAAGACTTAAGCTCCATTTATAATAGGCCACAGGTCTCAAGACAAATCATTTTTTTTAGAACCTCACAAAAAGACATAACCTAGCCTTACTGAGAACTCCAGTTATTTGGGTGGTTAAAGGACTACATTTGTCTCATGTAGACCCATATATGCTATGCCTGAGAAAGCAGGCGTTACATACATGTACATACATAGAGTATCCATAAAGTCTGCAATATGACCAGTGACTATCATTTGCCAGCATCTAACCTTAAATATGTAACTTTTTTTAAAAAAGCTTATTTAAAAACAAGACTCCTGGCCAGGCACCAGTGGCTCACATCTGTAGTCCTAGCTACTCAGGAGGCAGAGATCAAGAGGATCATGGTTTGAAGCCAGCCTGGGCAAACAGTTCACAAGACCCAATCTCAAATAAACCCACCACAAAACAGGGCTGGTAGAGTAGCAAAGAACAAAGAAAAACCACTTTTCCTTATTAAAACTATTTATTCCATTTAATTTTCAAAACATTAACAAGAAGTTACTACTGAGGGAGTAAGTCACTACCTTGAAAAAAAACCCATTTCCCTCTGGTACACTTCCTTTTAAGGGCTTAAATCTTATCTATATACATATACATATGTATTTGTGTATAGCTGTACATTCTTCTAAGTACTTTAGTCAATTTATTTTACTTTTTAATATTGTATCATGAACATTCTCGGCTTCTGCCAAGAAGCGATCATGACATTTCTGATATTAAAAATGTATCTATTTAAAAAAAAGTATCCTAGCCTATCAACTTTGTGTTATTTATTCACTCATTCCTTCAATGTTGGAATTTATGTCAATTTTAATAGTTTATTTATTTATGCTTCACCTTGTTCCACAAAAATGATCACAGAGAGTTAAGACAATACTGGATTTCCGTTATAGCTCTCACAACTAGCTGTATGACTTTGGGAAAAACCACAAAACTCTTAGATTTACATTTCCTTAGATTTTAAACAAGGATATTAAATAGATGCTTTATAAGTTCTTTTTACCTTTAATGTTCTTTAACATTTATGTGGTAATCAAATGTTAAACATATCTATTAAGGTAAAATTTCATATTTAAATCTAAATATCAAAAGCAAACTAAAAGCAATTAATAAACTAACCTACGTATTTAAAGACATTATCTTTTACATACTAACAGTATTTTTTATTTATTTATTTAGGTGGCACTGGAGTTTGAACTTAGAGCCTCACACTTCTAGAGGCCACTTCCAGCCCCTTTTTATTGCTTTAGTTATTTCTCAGGTATGGTCTGGTTTTTGCCTGGGCTAGCTTTGACCAAGATCATCCTACTTAATACCTCCCACATAGCTGAGACCACAGGCATGTGCCAATAACCCCTGGCTTACTGACTGAAATGAGGGTCTCACTAACTTTTGCCCATGCTGGCTGTAAACCACTGTCCTCTCTAGAGCTTCCTTCTGAGTAACTAGGATTACAGATCTGAGCACTACGCCCAGTCTAAAACTTCTAAGTTATCTGCAAAGGTCTTGCATGAATTCATTTTTCCTTTCCCTTTTAGAAGATTACAAATATGCAGAATGATGTTAATGGTAACTGTGGATATAAAATATAACCAAAATACTTCTGTTACAAAAAGGAACCTGGTATCTTGGTTTCCCAAGTTCCAGATTTGAACCATCTCACAGACAATAACCTTCTCATCCATACCATTGCCCAATAACAGAATTAGTAAACTGATATACCTAATTGAAGACATAGCTTGCAAACTATCAAACAAACCATTATAATAAAAATTTTGTGGTGCAAGACATAGGCCATGGAGGGAGACAGGATTAAGAAGAATGATGGATGGGGTGAATTTAAGTATGATATACTGTAAGCACTTTTATAAATGTCACAATGTACCCCCAGTACAACAATAAGAGTAAAGGCTTACAAAATAAATAAAACAATAATATAATAAAAATAAAATTTTTAAAAATTAAATTACAAAAGAAAGAGAAAAAATGGTCACAAAACAAAGGCTACCAGATGCTAAGTAAAAAAGGTCAAATCTTAAATAATTTAAAACTCTGTGAAATTTGCATGCAATTTTTTTATCATGTAGATATCAATTATGCTAATAAATATTTGATAGTGTTGTTTAAATAGTAGCTCATTTTTTTGTGGCATTAACTAGGATGGGAAAATTACCGTAGAATGAAATTTGTATTTGACTAAAATTACTCATTTTTACTAACCGGTGTGGAAACACTACACCAAAAAGAGCCACTGAGGCATCGATGACTGAAACTCCAAGAGGGAGAGGACCAGGCACAGCTTCTCCAGCAGGTATTCGTAAATAAATGGAGGAAGGGTCATGCTCCAGAGCCCCACTACCAGAGGCGCTGTTTGGCTGGAGCTGCAAGTATGAAACAAAAATTATTAAAATCAACTTTAGAAAATTCACTTACTTAGATATAAAGAATAGAGCAGGGCAGAAGTAAAGCAATTTTAAAAAGAATGATTGTATCTAAATTTTAGACAGACAGACAAAAATCTGGCAATTAAAAAAAAGTTCACCATCAGTAACATCTAATAGGATTTTAAGAAAAGACTTCTTCTAAAACATTTTATATAATATACCTTAATGTGTAAGCAAGACATTATTAGCAATAACTAAGCCCACAAAAATTATTCAAAAGGGATTTTAATCTCTCTTTTTAAAAAGTACATAGAAAAAAAATGTAATCAGTGGGCAAAGAGGTATTAAATCCTCAACCCCTAACTCTCATTCCTTTCCAACCTATTACAAAACACCAGAAACCTAAACAGCTGATTTTTGCTACAGCCTCTACAGAATATCTAAATGTAAAGAATACTGAATAAAGAAAATTTGCCAAATTCTAACTACTGCTGTTTACCTTGTTTCATCATTTATCTACAGCCTAGATGCAATTTTTAAGTGGCTAAAAAAGCTTAATGACAATTAAATCTTAGACACAATATTGTTTTTTAAAATGACAATATATAATAGGGTCATTGCTTTAGATTAAGCTAGCATTACTTTCCCTTGGATGGTTTACTACCTGGTCTTCAATTGATTTATGGTCAGTTTCTTGAAGCCATGAACCAAGAAGAACACTATCATCATAGTGACAGAGAGATCGGAGGAGGGAAGTAGTTGTGTTGGCTGAGTTGTCAGTCAAAGTAAATTCTGCTACCAGTTCTCTAAGAAGTGCATTGAAAGATCCTAAAACACAGAACTTCAGATCAGATTAAAAAAAATAATTTTTATGAAAGTTACAATCCTTGCTCACAAAGAGCAGCAACATGGTCAACAGGAATAAAATAAGTCCCTATTCCCTTTTCTTAAAAATCTGTGTTAATTAAAAAAGAAAAAATGGGGTCTCACTAAGTTGCTCAAGCTGGCCCCAAACTCTTGGGGCTCAAGGATCCTTTTGCCTCAGCTTCACGAGTAACTGGGACTTCATGTACATACCACCACCCCCATTAAAAAATTACATTAAATATTTAATGCTGGTTTTATATACAATATTGGTACTTTCTTTTTTATTATTGTACCATGCCTTCAGCTGAAACTGAAGTAACCAAAACATTCAGAAGACAGCTCTTATATGTATTGTTACATGATATTTATTGTTCATTGCCCAATAAAGTGAAACACTAAACCAGAAACATACGCAAATTCTTGGGTATAGTTGTATTAGAGAGAAATTAATGGTTTAATACTTTAGACAATATTTGATTTCTGCAAAGTACATTACTATTCTCCCTTCAAATCCCTAAATTTTTGGCTATATTATTATATGTGTGAAGCAGTTTAGTATGGTAATTAAAAGTATAGACACTGAACATAAACCAAGCTCTAACACTCAGGCAAATTACTTTTTTTTTTCATATCTGAGATTCTTCATCTATAAAATGGGGATAACTACTTCATAAGTTGAATTAGGGTCACAGAAACTCATATACATTAAAGGCTTAGCATGGGAACTGGAACACAGTAAATCCTTAACAAATGTGAGCTTCTACTACATGAAGGAAAGGATATGGTGGCTTTCTTTTGCAAAGTGAGTCAATGGGAGAGCCTGATCAGAACTCCTTAAGTACTGTGAGAAACCAGAAAGGCATATTGAAGAATTTTTATCACATACTGAAATTTTATTTACCTTCATAAGTTTTTGGAGGTAATAAAGCCAATATATCATAAAGTCTTAAACGGACCATTGCTGCACTAGCTTTCAGATGTGCTCCGTGGGCTTTGATTACAGATGGAATGCTAAAATATCAAAAACACAGATGCGAATCAGCTTACTTAATGAGCATTATTTATAAACATTTAGCAATATATCTTTTGGTGACATATTGATGTATTGTCAAAGTACAATGGTCAGTATCACACATTTTCAGTTTATTTTGTGATCTTTAATGTTAGTAGCAGAAATACTTTACAATTGTATTTTAATTCCCATAATTAGCACAATTTTTAAAGTCCTCTGCAAAAATAAAGTTTCATACATTTCCGATACAACTCTAGAAGGAAGCATAAAATATTCTAAATAAAATTTTTATTTATTAATATATAAAATAGGATGTTAACTTATAAAAATTGTTTACTTACTGTGACATCATAGTCATGGCACATTCAATAGGGGTCATTAATTTTCTAATCACATCTTCAGTTAGGAGCTCAGGACAGTGTGCAACAAAACTCCTCATAGCTGCACATGATAAAAGCGAGAGCACACAAGGGAGGGGTGAGGATAGGTAAGACACCTAAAAAACTAGCTAGCATTTGTTGCCCTTAACGCAGAGAAACTAAAGCAGATACCTTAAAGCAACTGAGGCCAATAGGAAAAGGGGACCAGGAACTAGAGAAAAGGTGAGATCAAAAAGAATTAACCTAGAAGGTAACACACACGCACAGGAAATCAATGTGAGTCAATGCCCTGTATAGCTATCCTTATCTCAACCAGCAAAAACCCTTGTTCCTTCCTATTATTGCTTATACTCTCTCTACAACAAAATTAGAAATAAGGGCAAAATAGTTTCTGCTGGGTATTGAGGGGGGAGGAGAGGGAGGGGGCGGAGTGGGTGGTAAGGGAGGGGGTGGGGGCAGGGGGGAGAAATGAACCAAGCCTTGTATGCACATATGAATAATAAAAGAAAAATGAAAAAAAAAAAAATCAGTGTGAGACATCTTACCAGGCTGGGCAATGACTGAATACTAAAGCCCAAACTGGTGCTC